TGTTAGGCACAATTGGCATGTCCAAAATGTCCATCTCCTCCCTCTCTGACAGATTTGTGAGGTTGAGTCATGTGATTTGCTTCTGCAACACCATCATCCCCATAGATTTCCCTGTGTCTTGGACTGTGCAGCACTGCATGAGGAGGCAAATGTCCATGATTACAGTAATCTCTTCTCACACATTCTGGTCACTAGCCGCCTCACATAGCTCTGCCTGGTAAGCAGCTAGCATGGAGGAAACATTTAGTCATGTTGTACTGAAAGTGGTCTGCCTTCGATGGGAGTGTGGGGCTCCAGCTGTGAGCCCCAGCTGGTGCCAGCCTGAGATTCCGCTTCCACGAGTCCTTCCTTTTCGGCACTATCGTCGGCAGTTTCACCTATGGGCAAGAAGGGGTCTGTTCCTGACAGGCTAGGTTGGTGCTCTAGCCATCATTGGAGACACTTTTTGTTGAACCGGGCACAATACGGACATGAACCGCAGGCTTCAATTGCAAGTTGGGCATGTTCCAGCCTGAGGCAACACAAGCAGTTCTAGTATGTGTCCTTAATCAAGATTCTGTTGCCGCATAAGCAGAGTCGAGAAATGTGTGTGTGTGTGACACAAGACTAACCTCCTTGAAACCCAACATAGGAAGTTCCACCCTCCATGCGCGGTAGTTTGATGACAAAGTACACAAATGTCTTTATGGCATCAGTAGTTTGACACTTGTTTACTTCGCTGAAGCATGCATACCTTAGGAATCCGAACAATAAGTAAAAGACAAAAAGAATGAGAGATGTTGCACTAATGTCAGCAAGTTATACAAAAGTAAGAGATGGTGTGATTATCTTCTCACTCACTTGGCTGAGGAAATAATATTCTTTTTGTGAAATCCTTCATCATACTCTGCTTGGATAATGAGGACTTTGTCTGTGTGTGTTGAGCTCAGAAAATCCCTAGTATTGAGACATAAATATCTTGTTATATTGTAATTAATATGTTTGAAAAAAACAGAATCATAACTAAAGAGCATGTTGATCTGTACATCTATTACATAAGTATTCATTAATAATTGAAAATTAAATTAAATTAAAAATTCACTAATAAGGATCACAAGACATTAAACCACAAGAGTGTGGAAAAAGGCAGTTACTCAGTTTGATTAAAATGAACGCCTACAGATCATATATATTTTCTTTATATGCATACCTTATTTTTTTGAGGAATGAGTACTGAGTGTCAAACTGCTGCAGTGATAGCAGCTGAACAGCATCAAGGTTTAATAGGCTCTGCAGGTGTTGAGTATCCACGGCAGTGAGTAACCTGGAAAAGGTTGTAACCTTGAAAATGCCAAAGAACCAAGGATTACAAAATATTACACTCAAATTTTTATTTCCCAAGAGTAAAACAGAAAAAGCCTCATAGTGTGTGTATGTGTTTTATGTATATTTTACATGTAATCCTGTAAAATGTATAATGCAGACCATAAGCTGCTTGGAATTTTGATACTCTCTCGTTAAACAAATTCTCTTTCTGAATTTCAGGTTTTCATTCACTGAGCCCTAGTGAAATTTTAGCTATATTTTAATAATATCAAATAAATATATCTAATTTTTGTTAGGATATTGAAGAATAAAAATATCCAATGCAAACTTTACAAAAGTCTTAGTAGAAATAGTATGAGCAATTAAGACTGTATCTAGTAAAAACTAGTTGTAACATGAATTGATTGCAT